ATGAAATACCTTCTTTCAGAATTTAAAGAAAAAATATAATTTTAAAAATAGTTAAGGAATAAGAGAATATCAAATAAGATCAAGAAAATATGAAATTTTAAATTCTAGGAACTAAAAATGTAATAGTTGAAGTTAACTTGGTACATGAGTTAAAAAGCAGATTACCCACACATGAAGAGAGAGCCGAAGAGATTATAGTGAATATGGAGACAGGAGGTAAAGAGATGGAGAAAGAAGACAAATTAGAGATTCAGAAAGTCAGAACAGGCCAGGCACGGTAGCTCATGCCTATAATCCTAGCACTTTGGGGGAGCTGAGGCAGGAGGATCGCTTGAGGCCAGGAGTTTGCGAACAGCCTGGGCAACATAGCAAGACCCTGTCTCTACAAAAAATAAACAACTTAGCTGGATGTGGTGGTACATGCTTGTATTGCTAGCTACTCCAGAGGCTGAGCCAGGAGAATCACTTAAGCCCAAGAGTTTGAATTTGCAGTGAGCTGTGATTGGGCCACTGCACTCCAGCCAGGGTGACAGAGCAAGACCCTAACTCAAAAAACAAAAATAAAAGTGAGAACAGAGAGAAAATGATAAGAGTCATTGTTCAGAGTGACACAGCACTTCTTGTATTATCCTGTATAGAGTTGGAACCCATTCTACTAAGTGAAGTATCCCAAGAATGGAAAAATAAGCACCACATGTACTCACCAGCAAATTGGTTTCACTGATCAACATCTAAGTGCACGTATAGGAATAACATTCATCGGGCCTCAGGAAGATGGGAGGGGGAGGAGCACGGATGGGTATATAAATACATAATAAGTGCGATGCGCACCATCTGGGGAATGGACATGTTTGAAGCTCTGACTCGGGGTGGGAGGCAAGGGCAATATATGTAACCTAAACATTTGTACCCCAATTTAATATGCTGAAATAAAAAAGAAAAAAAAAGAGTCATTGTTCAATGAGCTAATGGCTACAAATACTCAGAAGTAATGAAAGATGTGAGTGCCCTACAAAAGCTAAGTAAAACACCTTGTGGTGAAACTGAAGAATAGCAAAGACAAAGATAAGGACTTAAAATAATCTAGGAAAAGTCATCACTTACAAAAAACAACAAATCAACTGCCAGCAATAGTGGAACAATGACTGAAAAAATATTTTTCCCAGCAAAAGTAACTTTCAAGAACGAGATAAACAATGATATTTTCAGAGAAACCAAAACAGAGAATTGAGTCCCAACAGATTTTTAGTAACAGGGGCTACAAAAGATGGGCATCGGAAAGAAGGAAAATGACTCCAGAAGCAAATTCTGAGATAGAAGAAAGAATGGTGAGAAAATAAATAGGAAAATATGTAGGTAAACAAACATCATCTCTATGAAGTTATAATAATAGCAATGTCTATGATATGGGGTTAAAAAGAAGATATAACTAAAACCAAACATCGAACAATTGGAAATGTAATTTTTAAAAGATATTTTTTATGATACGGAGAAAAAACATTTTATACCTAGGAATAAATGAAGTAAA